TAAACAAATATAGTCTAACACATTTGTCTGGTTTTAAATACCAATAGAATGAATGTAACTTTACCATCAACCAATTAATCTAATAATAAAGAATTTCGGCCTTTTAAAATTATAATAAACTATCTGTCCGAGACTAATCAGTCTCAACAAATATTAATCAACTGTTTCCACATCAGTAACTCTTTAATATGCAATTTCAAATGTTAATCCCTTATCTCATTTAGAATTCAAGTAACGATGCAAAAAAGTAGATGTTACAACAACTTACAAATGCAACTCTTAACTCTTGTCAAGATACGTTGTGTACTCCTTTTACATGTGCATCTTGATTTATCCAACTTTAATAAAGTACTGATGAAGTGCATCACCATTAAATATACAGATTTTTTTTAATCTCATGAATAATACAATATATATACAGGTTCACATGTATATTTGGCTATCCTGACTCGCCCAACCAAACTCTTACTCAATACCCCGCGTTGCTCAGTGGTATACGAAACACTCCTGGATGCAGTGATAATGAGGAATATACAACACGACCCTAATGAATATCCAATACAGTGCACAAGATTGTATTGATACACCTATCTTTGGAGCTTTCTGTCTAATCCTCTGGTTATAATTAACCAAAATCAATGAGTACAAATGTCCAGTGTAGCGTAGGAGAGGAGGGGGGGGGGGGGGGCTTTGACAGGACGCAGAACACCAAGCCATACACAAAGGAGTAGTGTGAGCCATACTTTGTACAATGATGAATGACGTATGTCAATAGATGAGAACAGAAAGAAAAAACCCTGCAAATACAAAGCAGGGAAACAATGCACCATAACAAATTGATAATTGATTATAATATACATGTTCAACATCATCTGTTATCTGACTCGTACACCAAATTACACCTTTAAAAAAAAAACATTTGCAGGTACAAGTATTAACATTTAAAAAAACAACCATACAAACACATGACTCTTCCATCACAAATAAATAAATCCAACTGTTTAATCCTATCAAACAGTCATTAATATAACTAGGCAATCCCGACTGACTCGCACAACTAAGGTTTAACCAGAACAACAGTGTTTAGATGTAGCCTCACACCTTGCTGTCCTATCCAGTCACTCTTCTGGAATTATATTATATGTAACAAAACAACATTACCCTACGAGTGCAAGTACTAATTCCTTCTATATAATAGTAAACTACAATATATTTACAACAATATCTGAAATGTATTGTGCATCCACAAAAACATCAAAGTCGTTGAAGTCGCTTCAGATAAACTAACCGAATAATTACAATGTTTCCTGAATTTGAACAACTGATGAAGTGATAATGGAGAAACATCGTACAGTGTATTTAGTATAATGACATAGTCGATATTCCGGATACCATTCTAGTATAACTGCGGCTATTAATACATCTTTCTCCACAATTTAACCACAGAACGACAATTTACATCTACTACAAAGACAAACAATGAATCAACAATGGAAAGAAATAATAATGTAACAATGCACTATAAACAATGACTCATACTATAGTGAGCAACTTTTAAAAATAATTAAAGACTACATCAACATTTCTATAAAACTAATGATTAGCTACTTATACTTTCGCTTACATGAAAACAAAAATACGAATGCAACCATCGTCTCTTATCAACATATTCACATACAAAGAATAAATCATATACCTGGAGTATCCTCCGCTGTGATCAAGCTCAACAACTCATATTAACTGATGGGAGTCACTGAACACGGGTCTCTATTAAAAAAAGCAGATCCCTTAAAGATTTAAGACATACATATCAATTACATGTTTATAGTATAACCTTTTTACCAATACTACCTGCAATAATCTATCCTCTTCTAAAACTACACAACGTATATATATATGTTTATTGATAATAGTATTGTATTACATGGTTGTAAATAACAATAACATAATTTGCAGACTAATGAACTTGCTAAACTAGTCTTCATCTATTAAATAAACTACGAAACAAAGCCATGCTGAGTAACTTTCAACAAAATACATTATCACTCTTAGCCACTCATAGTGCAGCAAACTTTCGATCTTCATAACTTTTTATAACACACTTATGGCTATAGTAACTTCATAATTTCAAATCTGATACTAAATCACATGTTATTATAAATTCACATACCTAGAAAATACGGTATAGATTCACTGCAATTTCCTTCTACACTCGGGACTTCCTGACCTTCATCTTACTGACATCTTCAGCATTATCATCTCCAATTATCCACTCCTCACTCTTGACCAAGGCCTTACATATTCATCCACTTTTTATCTTATTAACAATAATGTACATACAATTTACCTGAAATTACATTGTATTTACCAACATATAAATGATACACATTTTCCGTGTCTGATATTCCTCTAATATCCATTCACTTTCTTTAAGTTTTAATAATCTTGCATGATACTGAACACCAGTGGCGGATCCAGGGGGGCGGGGTAAAAACACGCTTATTTTAACTGTATTTGTTTATTTGGAGACGGGCCCCCTTGTGCTCAAGGGGGGTGCAATTTTTTAATTTTTGAGGGCCGAAAAAAAGGTAGTTCTCAATACCTTCCCTACTTTACAAATAGTTACCGTAACGAATCAAATTACTTATTCACTACCTCTAAAATGTGAAATTTTGTTCAACAAACTCCAGCCTGTATGACCTTCCCTGTGCTGTCATCCTTAAGCATGGTCATGTCTATTTTCTACAAGTCTTCACTTGACAGCCAAGGTCAGTGACTGACCACCAATTAAACTTCCACATATACTCCCACCAACAGCCGCGTACGCTGGTAGATCTAATGGGTGACCAAAAAAATAGTGACCTTACCCCCCCCCCCCCCCCGCTTATTCAGCGGCTGGCTGAGTCGTTGCGAAATTTTCAGGACCAAACAAAACAAAAAATATGTTCTGTTATACCCCCCCCCCCCCGGCCCGTAGCCAGGGGGGGGGCAGTGGGGGCAGTCGCCCCCCCCCCCCCAAAAAAAAAAAAAAAAAAAAAAAAAAAAACGCCGGCCAAAAAAAAAAAGAGAGAAAAAAAGAAGAAAGGAAGAGGACGTAAGAAGAAAAAGGATTAAGAGTCGACAACGGTACAACGATTTGTCTAATTCTTTCTCTAATTATTTAATGAAACATCAAAGCTTCCGCACTTCGCGCGGGAAGTGGGGGGGGGGGGGTAAATGAATTCAGATAAGGATTAAGAGTCGAGTACGGTACAACGAATCGTCTTCTTTCTCTAATAATTTATGAAACGTCAACGCTTCCACGCTTCGCGCGGGAGCGGGGAAACTGAATTCAGACAAGGATTTAGAGTCGAGAACGGTAAAACGAATCGCCTTCTTTAATAATTTAATGAAACGTGAAAGCTTTCGCGCTTCGCGCGAGAGGAGGGGGGGGGGGACTGAATTCAAACAAGGTTTAAGAGTCGAGGACGGTATAACGAATCGTCTTCTTCCTCTAATGAAACGTCAAAAGAAACTGAATTTAGATAAGGATTAAGAATCGAGAACGGTCCAACGATTCATCTTCTTTCTCTAACAATTTAGTGAAACGTCAAAGCTTCCGCGCTTCGCACGGGAGGGGAAAAACTCCCCCTCCCTGCATCCACCCCCTAGGGAGCGCGCTACGCGCGCTCTGTAAGTGATTCGCACGCTTTGCGTGCTCACTACCGCCCCCTCAAATGAAAACCTGGCTACGCGCTTCCCCCCCCCCCTTCGAAAAAAATCATGTGTACGCGCCTGCCCACCAATGTGTGCTATAATTATCGCAATTACATTATCACAATGCAAACCATGAAATACGCTCCGCTCACTATCATATTCATATTTGCAGTATGTTCTTCTCTTAAATCTAAATAAACAAGAGAATTACCGTCGGACTACTTTATTTGACATGTGAGAGCATATCGCTCCACAGCTGGACCCCAGTGATTTGGTCTCACTATGTTGATTTCTTTTCACACCTCACTTTCCCTGCAATGGTGTCTTTAAATACATAACACAAATTAAGATCATGATTATAAGCAGCTAGGGAGAAAATTCTGTACTCCCACGTTAATTATGATACAAATATTTCACTTGCGTGTCAGAGGAAAACGTAAGTTAAGGTAGTCCACCAAGAAATTGTGCAGGGAGATGCCCTGAACACGTTGATACCCGACAACCTTTTACAACATTCCATGTCCCAAAAACCTGCTTTAATTTGCCCTCTAATTAATATTTGTAAAGGGGGAAGGGGAATACATTGTTTTCCTGTTAGCTCTAACCCTCAGGCATTGTAATTATGGTAAAGTACATCAAAGGTTCTTTACTTCTAGTGTTGTAATTTTCATCCTAAAGTCCCGGCCCCCCACTCGGTGTTATTTAGGGTACGCATATGCTTGTTCCCTCTCTTTGAAAGCACCCCATATCTGAGGACTGCCAACATTTCCGAACCCCCATTTCGCGGGTTTTTCCCGGACGTTTCCTGCCTTGGAGACCCCCCTTATTCAGGAAAAATGATCAATGTACCCCCATAAATTCGAAATTATTTCTCAGGAGTCCAAAGAGATGAGAAAAAAAGAAGAAAAAAACCTTTTTAAAGAAATCTCCGGGTGAAAAGTCAAATACACCCCCTTTTTTTTGTTACCAATTCCAGCCCTTAGGCTTAACTATGTGGTTCTTCCTTTATTCCATGAATTTATTTCTTTTCACTAATTTTGCATTCCTTGTACATCTTTTTATTTAAATAAGTCAATTTCATTAAGCTTCTGAAGGAGCTTTTGCAAAAGCTGGGTGAAACCTTAGTCAGAATCATCCTTGCTTTTGCTAGCTTCCTGGGGGTTTCATGTCGTTTTTCCTAAGGTATGTATTTCCGAAGATTCATAATTTCGAAGGCTCGTTACTCGTAAAGACATGCCTCTCCAGTCATAGCATAAGTTCTGCCTTCGAACGTAAACTTGCATCTTCTCTATCTGTTGTGCCCCTTATCTGTACCCATACATTACCAAGCAGATGCCCCCTTTGTTTCCCTGCGTCCCTTTTTGTGTGCTTTGTTCCGACATAACATTTTTTCCTCCAGTATAGCCAAGCTAATTATGACAAATATGTATAGACAAGGTTTGACCCTGGCCCTCCAAAATGCCCCCTTCCATGTGAACAAAAGTCTTTTCGGAGGTTAAGCTGCCTCTTCGTTATCTGTTATGCAAATGGATATGATACCAATTCGTTACATTAACAGATTTTGTTTGCCTCTGTAATAATAAGTATGCCAGTTTTTAGTCTATAACTTGAGTTTTCCTTAAAGAATAAGCAAAGCAAAAATGGCCTTTTATACAAGAATTTGATGTCTTTTCTATAAACGAAATTCATATATAGTCCATCATTCACTTGGCCTGTAGAGGTTCGTTCTAAGAGAGAGAGAGAGAGGTGGAATGGTGCTTCTGGAACGTGTCCCCATTTATGGATTGTCAGAGGGAAGGAATATTAACAAGGACATATGAGGCAGCAAAAAGAGGGCGCATTTTTCCGGTGTAAAAGGGCTTTTTCCATCACTGGAGGAGCCAAATCTGATTACTTTATTCTATCATTTTCTCTGTCTATATTCATTATGTTAAAAATGGGATACAATAAGATAAAGACAAAAAATAACATGAGGAAACATTGAAAGAGAGAAAGATAGAAAGATGAAAACAAAGAATAACATAAGGAGAGATAGAAAAGAAAATAGAATGATGAAAGCAATGAGGATGAGGAAAAATATAAAGAAAATAAGATAAAAGGAAAACAACATAAAAGAAGGTGAGATTTTATTTTTGGGGCGCCCGCCAGAAAATTATATGGCGTCCGCCAAATAATCTAGCTTATGTTATGTTTTAGATAGAAAGAGGAAATGACAGAAGAATAAAAACAAAGAATAACATAATTAGAGATAAAAAGTAATGATAGAAGGATAAAAAAAAAAATGATGCTAGAAGGATTTTAAAAAAGAATAATAATAGGAAAGGTAGAAAGAGGAAATGATAGAAGTATAAAACTAAAGGGTAACATACGTAAAAATAAAAAGGGAAGAAGATGGAAGGTTAAAACCAAAGAAAAAAATAAAGAAAAGTAGAAGGTAATGTTCAAAGAATAACAAAAGGTATAACATAAGGAAAGATAGAAAGTGAAGAAGATGTACAAAGAGTAACATACGGTAAAATAAAAAGGGAAGAAGATGGAAGGTTAAAAACAAAGAAAAACATAAAGAAATATAGAAGGTAATGATCAAAGAATAACAAAAAGAAAAACATAAGGAATGATAGAAAGTGAAGTAGATGTGAGGAAAATAATAAAATCATGATTTTGTTCTAGATAGAAAGAGGAAACGAAATAAGAAAAAACAAAGAATAGCCTAACATAAGGAAATATAGAAGAAGAAGCAGATGAAAGAAGGAAAAACAAAGAATTATGAAATGAAGAGAGAAAGAGGAAATGACAGAAGAAAAAACAAAGAATAACATAAGGAAAGACGAATTATCCGGCGGCCGCATATAATCCACTGCTGGTTTTTTATTCAGGAACAGTTTTCTTTTCCCTTGTATCTCTCTCCCTTTTTGGTTTAACCTTGGTAGGAAAGAGGGAGGCTGCTCAGTCTTTCTGGTCCCCCCCCCCCCTCTGCTTTTTAGGCATCTTATTTCATTTTCGGAATTATGAACCCTCTGAGAAACGAACCTTCGGAATAAGGAATTATGAACCCTTTTTTTCATTTTTTTAATTATGAACCCCTAGGCATGGGGAATTTGTGTTTCGGAATTATGAACACTCGGAAAAACGCATCTTCGGAAAAACGAGCCTTGGGATGAGCGAGATCCCCCCTTCCGGAGAACCTTGGTCAGAATCATTCTCGCTTTCGCTAGCGTCCTGGTCGGGAGACCCTTGGTCAAGATCATCACCGCTTTCGCTAACATCCTGAGAACCTTGGTCAGCTTCGAGAGAACCTTGGTCAGAATCATTCTCGCTTTCGCTAGCGTCCTGGTCGGGAGACCCTTGGTCAAGATCATCACCGCTTTCGCTAACATCCTGAGAACCTTGGTCAGCTTCGAGAGAACCTTGGTCAGAATCATTCTCGCTTTCGCTAGCGTCCTGGTCGGGAGACCCTTGGTCAAGATCATCACCGCTTTCGCTAACATCCTGAGAACCTTGGTCAGCTTCGAGAGAACTTTGGTCAGAACCATTCTCGCTTTCGCTAGCGTCCTGGTCGGGAGAACCTTCGTCAAGATCATCATCACTTTCGCTTGCGTCCTGGTCGAGAGTACCTAGGTCAAGATTATCCTCAACAGATGGGCGAAAGCGGGTGTTCTCAACTTTTTGCGCTATGGACGTTTCGTCGAGATCTTTCTCCAATTCCTGTTTTAGACAAGTGAATTCTATGTAAAGTATGTTTAGTGCATCAGAGTCTGAAAACTTACACGTACTAGTACTTGCAATGCCCTCTTGTCCCATAAGAGTGCTGTTTACATTCAGACTCTGCAAGGAATGTTTCTGGCGTCGAATGAAATCTGTCATGACCTTGCCAGATTTTGTGCGGATTTTTTTAATTTGTTTTAGTAGCCTTTTCCTTTTTCTTAGAAGAACCAGTGCCTTTTCACCAAAGGATTTTTTTATTTCCCCCTTTAGATTCCCCAGATGAGAATACATATCACACATTTGTTGCTCAGCATTGGTGATGGACTTTTTGATCTGTACTTTCTTCTTCTCACTTTTTTGAATGACAGACTTTCTTTCCTTGTTCAACTCTGCTTCCAGCTCTTCCTTCTTCTTAAACATGTGACCTTGATGTTTTTCAAACAAACAAGTCAGACAGATGAATTCCTTGCAAACCGCACACAGAATGTCTTTATAGACTTGACTGTGCAGGGAACAGAACACTGGTTTTCCATTGACCTTATGTACCTGTAATTCTTCCTCGAGGCCTTTTACAGAGAAATTGGGTGCAAGTCCTGCGACTCTACTTTTTTCCAGTTTGGTGCGTTTCTTACAAACCGGACACTCCATGAAATCTTGACCTCGGTGATGTGTATCGTATTTGTCCAGACAGACCTTGCAGAATGTATGTCCACAGGCGAGGAGGGTGGGGGCCTTAAAGGCATCGAGACAAAGTGGACATGCCAGACTTTCAGGCACCTGTAGTGCTATCTTTTCAGCCATAGTAGGCCTACCTTCAGTCAAAGTGGCATAAACTTAGCGGAGAAAGAAAGTTCAGCTACTAATTACAAGCACAGAAAGTCTGTATGTCTGAAAAGAAAAACAGGAAAACAAATTATACTTTTTGTTGCAAATTATTGAAATTTGAGCGCGTATTTCTATTTGCTTTATTTCTTTACTTGCTAATTAAATTAAATCCAAGACCAAAACTGTCCCATCATTTGTATTGATTTGCACGTGTGTTACAATTAGTGACGATATCAATGCTGAATGCCCATTGTCAAAGAAAATGATATGTTTAATACGCTACCTCGCTGTCAAATGAAAGTATTCACTTGGCCGCCTTAATCATCCCGTTTTCAAATGTTGCGAGCGATTTCCTCATGAAATTACGAACACTCTAGGTTTCTAATCTACGGTTTACATAAAATCAAACTCACATTTGATCAATATATGTTTATATAACCCAATGTTCCTGTGTTACTCCTGGATATGTCTTGCGGCACCCTACTTGAAAGACGCTGTACCTGATGTCAAGGTATCTGGGGGCAGATTGACCAAGCCGGGAAGTCAAATAGTCCTTGCCCCTTTACAGAAAATGATGATGATGATATGAACAGCATTTGTATGGCGTCATATATCTGTTTAAAAAATATTCAAAGTCCATACTCTCTTTGTCGGTTTTCCCGTATGTCTTCTATCTTTCACTCCTATCTCCGTTTCTTTTTCTTCTCTGCTTTACACTACATCAAGGACGCAGCTCTGATCACCCAAAATCAAGTTTCGAAATTTGATAAACAATAGGTATTACCAGGGAGATGTGAGGTTTCTTCAGCTAACATCTACTTGTGATTACTGCTTGATACCTTGTCAACTATTTATGTGAGTAGTAATCGTGCAGGCCCTATTGTGTCTTGACTAAACTTTGCCAACTATATTACATAAAACATGTTCAAGTATTATATAAGAATTAAAGAGAAAGTTGAGTTCTGGGAAGAGGTGAAAAATAATTTGTGAGCATTACTCATTCGTATTATGCAAGTGTGGAAGAACATCCGTTAAGACATGTTCCCTGAAAAGCTTGGCTCTTCAAATGCCTTCATATTCTAAATATGCATGTAACATCGTAAAAATCGGGGGCCGGCTTTTTACGCCACGTGTTCGTGTAGTCCCATATACATCTTTCTGTGCAAGTGTTTGTAACTTTACCAAGACTTGGCCACATTTCTTATCATTTTGATGATTCCAGAACCTTGCAATACACACAATTTCTTATATGCTAGATGATCAACCTTTTCTGGTCGGTTCCACACCGGTTCTTTCACAATGCAATTGCATGACCAGAACTCAACTTCATCTTTAAACATTGCATGCTCATGGATTATGAGCCACTTTTTATACACTTTGACTTTCTATGAAGCGGGTCATCTAAGCCTGTGGCCAGGGGTAGACCGGAATATTCAGTCTCTGATGTAGACGGGTGTTCTGCAGAGTCTGGCTCCACTGACCACCTTTCAAGCTCTAGTTTTATTAAAGAATTCCCAATAAGATTTTATCAGACGGTTATTTGTGTGTCTTTGACTTACTTGACTTTAAGCCGTCCACATCATCAATGGGATGTATGATGACTTCTGTTTCACAACGGCTTGCCACATCTTCCTGTCTTCTGTTATCCTAGTGGCTTTAGTCAGGGAGTCAACTTGTCTGTTTGTGCCGTCCGCCTTGATGCAGTCTGTCCATCTCTTAGCTGGTCTTCCCCTTGGTCGTTCGACATGTACATTTCCGTTGAAAAGGATGTGGGGTATCTTTTTGAGTCCATTCTGTTGATATGTCCAAAGTATCTCAGTCTTTTTGTGGCAACCCTGTCGATGATGGTTTCTTCCATGTTAAGTTGTGTTCGTATGTGTGTGTTTCTTAGCCTGTCAAATCTGGTGACACCCATGATTCTGTGTAGGCTGTTGAATATGCCTTGGTCACCTCTTCAAACTTTACATGCAAGAGCCAAGAATATGTTGGGACACATTCAATGACCAATGGCTTATTTTACGAGAATGCATTGAATTTATAAATTGTAGAAAATTACGAACACTCTAGGTTTCTAATCTACGGTTTACATAAAATCAAAGTCACATTTGATCAATATATGTTTATATAACCCAATGTTCCTGTGTTACTCCTAGATATGTCTTGCGGCACCCTACTTGAAAGACGCTGTACCTGATGTCAAGGTATCTGGGGGCAGATTGACCAAGCCGGGAAGTCAAATAGTCCTTGCCCCTTTACAGAAAATGATGATGATGATATGAACAGCATTTGTATGGCGTCATATATCTGTTTAAAAAATATTCAAAGTCCATACTCTCTTTGTCGGTTTTCCCGTATGTCTTCTATCTTTCACTCCTATCTCCGTTTCTTTTTCTTCTCTGCTTTACACTACATCAAGGACGCAGCTCTGATCACCCAAAATCAAGTTTCGAAATTTGATAAACAATAAATATTACCAGGGAGATGTGAGGTTTCTTCAGCTAACATCTACTTGTGATTACTGCTTGATACCTTGTCAACTATTTATGTGAGTAGTAATCGTGCAGGCCCTATTGTGTCTTGACTAAACTTTGCCAACTATATTACATAAAACATGTTCAAGTAAATAAACTGGAAGTGAACTTTTTGTCGACCACGTAAACTTAGTCTATTGTTGAAATATTAACAGAAATACTTACCCGTGAGTTTGTACCATATTTATATTTCAATATACAACTGTATATATATATATTTTTATTATTTAGCCATCCCTATATTTCAATATATATGTACATGAAATGGTTGAGTAAATATCATAGTATGCTACTCCTCCAACAGAACAAGAGTATGTATATAAATTGACACAATTTTCGCACATATTGATTTAGAACTAAAATATGCAATACGCTGTGTGATAAATCTATATAATTATTCAGTATCTGTTATTTCAACCTTCAAACATGTGCTTCTAACAAAATACCCAACAATATTTTCCCAGCTATCTATATCTACAGGCAACCATAATACAATATCGACAGAACTGCTTGCTCAATAATCTACGTTAACTATGCCTCTGGCATTTCCAAGCCCCAAACTTGACAATCATATTCATCAGTAGAAGTGTCGTAGTCGAGTGGTTTAATCACTTGAGTTGAAATTCAAGGGTTGTGGTTCGATCCCCGACACGGCACTAATGTGCTTTGGCAATGCATTAATCCCCATTTACCACACTCGATCCAGGTGAAGTAAGTGGGTATAATTGAAATGTAATCAAGGACATTGGTATGCCAGATAAGAGACTTTCTCCCGAGTCCCAAATGAGCTACTAAACATTTTGGCGAAAGTCTCTGAAATTATAGACAGTCTCCTAAATAGGAGTAAGTCTTCCATATTTTAACCTTGCGCCTGTACTACTCATAAAACTATAAAAAGAACAAAAATTTGCATTTTATCGTACTCGGGGATGTTAGGGACTTAATTATACTCCAATCTAGATTATAGTTGAAACGTAAACAAATATCATGAATTGTTATGTTCTGTTGATAAATAATAATTGATTTTACAGTTATGTAAATTGAAGAAAACAAAATCGACTAAAATCATGGAAAGTTATATATAAATTACCAGAGACTTTCGTCAAGATGTTTGGTAGCTCATTTGGAACTCGGGAGAAAGTCTCCTATCTTTTATACCAATTTCCTTTATTACATTTACTGCAAAGGGATACCCTTGGCTCAAATCAATGAGCAAAGTCATCATGAAAATGTATTCCTTTTGACCGTCTATTTCAAAAAGTTACCATCTACTTTTGTTTTTATAACAGTTTTGTCGTTTTGATCCATATACAAACGCATGGGCTTTCTGACCTCAGAGAGGCAAAGTTTTGGCAGGAAAAATGGACTTGTTGTTGATGCCGTTTCTAATTTTGTTCTTTTGTAAGCAAGTCTCCAATATGAGAGACATTCTCTCAAATAAGAAAGTCTCCCGATCGACCCTGCGCATGTTCTCTACTGGTGAAAGCAGTTTACTTGTCTTAATGTAAGATCTAGTTGGAAATTAAATTATCTACAGAACTATATTTACACACGACTTGTAAATGTATACAAGTGCAATGTAACATTATGATATCTTTAGATCTAAACCTTGCATTTTCGTGGAATATGAGCCATTTTTCATTCACTTTGACTAAATTCGTAGCGGTTCTTCTTAGCCTGGGGCTTGGGGTTGACCAAAATCTTAATTCTCTGGAGTTGGTGGTTGTTCTGCAGAGACTACGTCTGGCTCTACTGATCACCTTTCAGGCTTTTGTTTATTAAAGAATTCCCCATACAACTTTATTTCTGTGTAGGCTGGGGAATATGCCCTGGCCACCTCCTCAGATTTTACATGCAAAGAGCAAAAAACGTGTTTGGGCACATCCAATGACCAATATCATATTTCACGAAGATGCTTTAAATGTTATGAATGTAAACTTGTCTAGCAAATAATCAAACTTACGATCAAAATCAGTCCTGGATTCTGAAGAACAAAACGAACCAAGTACAATCCAATCTAGTCTGCGAAGAAAAACAAAATGGTCCACAAAATTCACCACTTATAACCACAGAACTAGAAAATACCAGTTCTGTGCCCGTGACGTGGACAATGAATGTGCGCGTGCGCAGATTTATTAAAGTACAGTATATCTCAACAAGCGCGCCAGCGCCAGCGTGCGATAGAATTTGCATGCCTCCCTGTAGTATTTATCGATCGTATAAACTAACCGTGGACCTTTCGTGTTCTTTTGTTGTCTCCATCCTAATTACCTCTCGTTCTATCTTTCACTCCTATTTCCATTTCTTTTTCTTCTTTGATATACACTTTATTAAGCACGCAGATGTGATCAAGCCAAAGCATTTTTTTCATAATTTGACTGAAAAATAGGTATCAACAGGATGATGTGAAATTTTTACATCTCACATCTACCAGTTATTATGCTA